TCCCCCACACAAAAAAAAAAGGGTCTGAGGTCTGCAGACTTAGGTCAATTAGTGGAGCCCAGAGTTTAAAGCAAACATGGTGAGGCAGCATTTAGCTGTTGTGCTGCATGCCATTGGAAAAAGCTGCCAAGCGGTTTAAAAAAAAAATTGGATTAAAAAAAAAAATGTATCTATATATATGCCCCCCCACACACACAGCAATGATTTGGGGTCTTTCAAAGCATTTAGAAAAGTCATGTTTTCCAAAATCTTGTTCTTGCACTGGTCATTCTTTTCCCTAATTTATTTTTAAATGATTTTAACTCATATATTTGTCAATGATTGTAAATGCTCTACATCTTGCAGCGTTTCTCGGCAGTGAAAAACATTTTTTGCGCGTGGGCGTCAATTCCTCGCAGACAGCGAGGCTTGTGTACTCCCGTTCGCCGAGTTGGACCGGATGGCCACGCTTGAGCAATCTCCGCCACTCGCGTTTGACTCGGGACGAGGAGGAGCGTTCGCAGCCTCCCGCAGACACGACGCAGCGCATCCCCGGATATTGAATTCCGATTTCCCCGAGAGGAAGCGCCGTGTAAACGCGGCCCTAAATCAACGTTATGATGTTTACTGCCGCGCTCCCGGAGCCGCTCTCAAGCGGGGCTTTCGCATGGCAGGAAGTACGAGCCTGTTGTTTTTAATCCCCTTGGCGAGGCTCGAAGCAGATATTGGGAAGACACGGGGCGGTCTCGGCAGCCTCGGCGGAGCGCTCGTCGGCTCTCCGCGGAAGGCGCTTCCTGCCGCCGCGCGGGAGGGCGACCCCTGGAAACGGATTGGATTTTCAAGTCAGTCGACGGAGCCGGCGTTCCCTTACGATGTCACAATGCCTCGCGCCACATCACTGGCGTTATTTACAGAGATCTGACAGCGCCAGACAGAAAACAGAATCATTCCTGCGCAAGCTCCCAAAAACTTAAAGCGCCTTTTGAGTTCTCTTTGAGGTCACCATGCACATATTCAACTTATTGCTTCATACAGCCACGAATGACCTCACTGCCGCTCGGGTTCTGGCCCGAACAAAGAGATCAGAACATCGGACTTAACTCAGCTGTAGAATAGACTTGAGCCCCCCCGCTAGGACTCTGAGGTCTGCAGACTCGGGCCAAGTCGCGGATCCCGGAGTTCAAAGCAAACGCGCTGAAGCAGCATTTCGCCGTTATGCTGCGCGCAAATGGAAAAAGCTGTCGACGGGTTAAAAAAACAACATTGGAAAAATATAGGTTGCCTGCTGTACTTATGATGAAGGTCTTTCGGTTTGGAACGATGCGGTTGGGCGAAGATGATTTTTGTCTTTGCACATCCTGCACATTTTCTCTGACTTGCATACAAATTCAGTTTATGCCATAATGGAAATCCGTTGTCAACTCAGGGCTCCCAATTGCGCACGAAAATTGTTGGGGTCTTTTTTTTTTTTTTTTTAAAGCTTGATGATCGTCAAAAATG